ACACATCTTCAAGTTCCCAAGGTTGAGGAACACTGCCGTAAAGGGAAAGAGACAGACAGGCAGACGGAGAAATTGTTCTCTGCTGATCCTTTGGGGAGGCAATCAGTTCCCCAGTGAGAAAGTAATATAATCATAAGCTTTCCTGCGCGAGGTTCCAAACCTGTCAAAAGCTACATCAGTCTGTCTGTCCTGCTGCTCTCACAACAATATATCTGGGTTTTTATCCAACTTAAAAGCTGGCTGGGGAATTCTGGGAGGTGAAGTCCATGCATCTTAAAGTTCCTGAGGTTGAGAAACGTTGCTCTACAGCATTATTCTCTTCTTGGCTGTTCTAGAACAACTGCTGCAATTTCTATGGCAATGGTGAGAAAAGTTGTCCATAATAGTGAAATCATGTGATCACACAGTCATTCCAGGAAGGGCTGTAGAGAAGCCCTGCACGGCTGAGATGCTCCAGGCTATTTCTTCTCATCAAAAACGAGAGCAAGATCTTTACAAGAGGTTTGCAGACTTTCCCAAACAAGTCCAATCCTGCTCTGCCCTCAAATGAACCAGCGATCCCCACCCCATTAAATGCGCTGGACCAAAAAGAAAATGAAAAACCAGGCCCTAGTTGAGGACACCTGGTCAGAAAAGAGATTGTGGGATTGCAATGGACCATTTAATGCAGCTGTGACTGAGTGTGTGGCTACTGTGTCAATCCCACGTTGGGCATCCAAATTTAGGTACCCATTATTGTAATAGTTGTGTGGAAGCAAATGCTAGGACTACAATTAGCATCGCTGGATTGGACGCTGGTACACAGGAAGTCACTGCATCTCAAAAAGGAAATTGTGGTGCTGGAAAAGAGGAAGAGCCAGCCGCATATCCAAGGGCTGTAGCAACCCTGTAAGCGGGGGGGGGGAGGGGGGGAGAGAATAAGGGGATTAAAAAAGTATGCACAGTTGAACTTGGAGCAGAGGAATTGATTAGGGAGTTGTTCTTAGTTGATTCTGCAGCTTCCCATACCGCTTTTGGTTATTAGCTGTTTTTTATCAGTTTGGAATACCGTATACCGCCCAGACTCCTTTCGAATTGGATGGCCTTACAAATCCAATAACTGAAAATAATGTCAATGTTTGGCCTCTTCCTGTGAAGCTGAACCATGGGAAATCCACAACAGAAGCCATTTCTCCCCACAATGTGTACTTGAAACAATGGAAGTGGACGAGGTGATGGTGGCCACCAACTCAGACAGCTTCAGAAGTTGAGGCTCCTGGTGCCAATTGCAGGATGGTGCCATTGCATCCCTCACTGCTGCTGATG